ATGTACGTTTTTTGGGGGTGGTTAATGAAAGTGTTCCAAAACGCGACATTAATTTCTTGACGACCAAACATTAATGATTATTACAACTTTATGTTTTTCCACTTGTATTCTTATCACCAATAATATTTATTTAATTGTGATGTCATAGTTAAATATCCCAGTCAAATACTATATTGTTATGTGCATAGTCTACGTCATAAACCTCTTACCTGAACGTCGTACGTTTGTGTGGAAAGTCTCTGTGAAAACTTCTTTAGGTCAATTACAATATTATAGCTCGATTTCTATTTTAACGTAACATTAGGAAATATTAAGTTTAAGTTTATTAGGAGCAATATTATGAGGGAAATAATTCACGTTCAAGCTGGTCAATGCGGCAATCAGATTGGTTCAAAGGTAACATTTTTTTTTCTTGTCCTTACACTTCTAGCACCTATACAGAATGACTGTATCCGCTAAGAAACATTTATCCGCAGATAAATTTTAAAGCAAACTTAGGCAGATAAAAAGCTAGTTTTATTGAGGATAGAATTATGTTGTGACTTTTTTTTTCATATCGAACGAATAATGAAAGTTTCCAGTTTACTTTTTATGTAATTAGCGCAATAAAATGGTTTATGTATAGGTTTTTTATGCTTCTTATTACGAAAAATTTATTTTGGGTTTTAAAAGTCAAAAACTAAGTTTTTAAGACACAGAGGTTCTGAAAAATTTTACAACTTATATGTATATAAATAGGTTCGTTTGTTACTAAAAGATAAAAGCAAATATAATATTTACCTTATATATATACATATACATACTAACACCCAGTTCTGACAAATTCTGCATTTCCAAAGGCCCCCAGTGGCACAGCGGTATATCTGGGGACTTACAACGCTAGAAACCGGGTTTCGATACCTGTGGTGGGCAGAGCACAGATAGCCCATTGAGTAGCTTTGTGTTTAATTCAAACAAACAAAAGCATTTCTAAAAAGTCGTTTAAAAAAGGATCATATTAAATCAAAATATAATCGTTTGAAAAAGTCACAAATGACTGTTTGGTTCAATCCTTTTTTCTTTTCCCTATATCGATGGCTTATTTCCTTGGTTCAAGTAAACTCGTGTTACGATTAAAAGACAAAAGTGTTTCTGATATCTATTTTTAAATAAAAGAAAAGGAAAAATTTAAACTAAGTTTTTTTTGTTTTGCTACTGATAATTAGTAAATGAAAGTAATATAATTTATTAATTAAGTGGAAAAATATGCTTCGCTAGTGAGAGATTTCAAAAGAGACAAACTAGACAGATATAGTATACAGAACAAATTGATAAGTGATTTAGTGTTCCTTTGTAAGGTCTCCCAGTGGCACAACGGTATGACTGCAGACTTACAACGCTAGAAACCGGGTTTCCGTATCCATTGTGTAGCTTTGTGCTTAACTACGAACAAACAACTCCTTTGTAATACGTGTTTTTTTACCTAGAAAACAACTTACAGCTGGCTCTTTCTCGATTGGACAGGAAGAGTAGTTATTGATTATTACTTATTATTTTAAAATTGTTTGTGCTATTTTTTTTCTTATTATTCAACAATTAGATAATAGTTTCTCAGAATAATAATTTCAGGTATAGTGCTACCAAAACCTGTCTCTCACTAATGAAAATAATCGTTCGTTATTCACTTTGATAATTTTAGGTTAAATGATAAATTACCTACTGTTAGTCAAACCATTATCAAATTTAGAGTTTATATATTATGAATCGTATCACTTTCAAGTTTAAATTCACTGTAGCGTGGAAACCAATGCCCATTTACCTTTGTTTGCCACGAAAGTGGAGACAGTGCAACATATTCATTTTTTGCCACTTTCTCGGAGAGAAGACAAATCCCAGCTGTATTCAGGAAGTGGTGACAGTATCATTTGGGATACCACAGGAAAATTGTGTCTCAAGTAAATTTATTTAATTTTGACTTGATTTTTTCAAGGTTAGTACTTGTTTGTAAGATAGACGAGTTGTGGTTGTCGGCACTTAGAGCAGTTAGACAGTGCTGTGGTAAACTTATTAGTGGATTAACCTTTAGTTCAGTCAATAATTATGCACTTTTCTGATTATCTTCTACGACTCAGTTCGGATACTTTTTGGTATCACATCGTTTTTT